CAGCTCCCCACCACCTCCCTACCACCTCCCTCCAGGGGCAGCTTCTTGAAACACACCCTGAAGTACCGGCCCTCAGCCTCTTCAAAATCATCACTGTCACTATCAGTAAAGTCCCCACTTGGTTTCCACAGCAGCTTCCTGCTCAGTCGCTGTCGCCCTGTGTCACAGGCTGACCGGGAGCCTGGGGTCTAGGGGCCATGGAGCCATAGTTCTCTGACAGGCTGGCCAGGGATCAACCCTGTACCCCCAGACCAGGTACATGCAGGTGAATCCAGTAAAAGCAGACCTAGAGACCCAAGAGGTTGCTCTGCAGAAGCTTTTTAACTTGATGTGCTCCCATTAATCCAATTTTGCTTTGGCTGCCTCTGTTTGTAGGGTATTGCTAAATAAACTTTTGAGCAAGGTGTAGTGGCTCATGCCTGTAATCCCAGTACTTTGTGACACTTAAGGGGGTGGATTGCTTGAGGCCAGGAGTTCAAGACCAGTCTGACCAACATGGTTTAACCTTGGCTCTACTAAAAATACAAACGTTACTGGGGCATGGTGGCACACACCTGTTATACCAGCTACTTGGGAGGCTGAGATGCGAGAAAGGCTTGAACCCAGGAGGTGGAAGTTGCAGTGGGCAGACAATACGCCACTGTATTACAGCCTGGGTGATAGAGCAAGACTCTGTCAGAAAGAAAGAAGGAAGGCAGGAAGGCAGGAAAGCATTTTTGCCCAGACTAATGTCCTGGAGATTTTCCCCAATGATTTCTTGTGGTAATTTCATAGTTCAATATTTTAAGTCTTTAAACACTTTTGATTTGATTTTACATATGACAAGATACAGAAGTCTAGGATTTAGTTTCATTCTTCTTCATATGGAAATCTAGTTTTCTCAGCGCCATATACTGAAGAGACTGTCTTTTCCCCAGTGTGTGTTCTTGGTATCTTTGTGAAAATGAGTTCAGTGTAGGTGTGTGGATTTGTTTCTAGGTTCTCTATTCTGTTCCATTGGTCTATGTGTCTGTCATTATGCCAGTACCATGCTGCTTTAGTTATTATAGCTCTGTAGTATAATTTGAAGTCAAGTAATGTGATTCCTCCAGTTTTGTTCTTTTGGCTTAGGATAGCTTTATCTATACTGGGTCTTTTAGGGTTCCATATACATTTTAGGATTTTTTTTTCTATTTATGTGAAGAATGTCATTGGTATTTTGATGAGGATTGCATTGAATCTGTAGTCTGCTTTGAGTATTATGGACATTTTTAACAATATTGATTCTTCTGATCCATGATCCTGGAATTTCATTCCATTATTGGATGTCCTCTTCAATTTCTTTCATCAGTGTTTCATAGTTTTCGTTATTGAGATCTTTCACTTCTTTGGCTAATTCCTAGGTGTTTGATCTTATTTGTGGCTATTGTAAATGGGATTACTCTTTTAATTTCTTTTTAAAATTGTTCACTGTTGGCATCTAGAAATGCTACTGATTTTTCTATGTTGATTTTGTATCCTGCAACTTTACTGAATTTGTTTATCAGTTCTAATGTCTTTTTGTGTGGAATCTTTAGGGTTTTTTCAAATACAAGATCACATCATCTGCAGACAAGGATAATTTGACTTCTTCTTTTCCCATTTGCATGCCCTTTATTTCTTTCTCTTGTCTGATTACTCTAGCTAGGACTTCCAGTCCTATGTTGAATCAACAGTGGTGAAAGTAGGCATCTGTGTTGTGTTCCAGATCTTAGAGGGAAGGCTTTCAGTTTTTCCCCATTCAGTATGATACTAGCTGAATGGTATCGTGTTTTAATTTCAAGTTCCACTTGTTCATTGTAGGTATCTAGGAACGTGATTGGCTTTTGTACATTAACCTTGTATCCTGCAACCTTGGTATAATTACTTATTAATTTTCTAATTTTAAATTCTTTTTTTCTTCCTTTTTTTTTTTTTTTTT